CAAAACAAAAAAAAAAAATAATAATAGAAACCATTGATGTTAATGAAAAAAAAGCAAAAAAGGAAAATATTTTTTTTCAAAAAAAAAAAAAATAAATAAATAAAATAACGAAATAATAAAGAAATAACAACAACAACAATGGTATAAATGTTGTTACTGTAAATGCTGTAAATATAAAGATAAAATTGATTTTGTTCAGTGTTTTTATTTGTTTTGGTTTGATAAATTTCATTTTTTTCTTCCGAATTAAAGTAAAGCAATCGATCGATCAATTGATTGATCAATGTTGATCGATTATTTGATTTGATTTGATGAGAATTTCATGAAGCTCCAATGTGTGAAAGGTGTGTTATGTGTATTGAATAATTTGTGTGAATATCGTGTTCATCCATCCATTGGTGATTGAAAAAAAAATTGCAAAAGAAATATGTAAAAATGTAAAATCCATTGTAAATTATGTAATATTTTTGCTTGTTTGCTTGTTTTGTTTAAATTTTTGATAATTTTTCTTTTTTTAGAGAAGAAAAAAGTTGTAAAAAAACAAATTCAAATTACAAATTGATGATTTGGATTTTTTTTTCTTGTGTTTTTGTTTTGAACGATGAAATGCATTGTCGACATCTGACGAGATTGATGATATTGGTGATTCCTAAAAAAAATTCTTTTTGTCTGTGTTTGTGCATGGTGCCTAAATCATTTGACAGAAGAAAAAAAAACAACAACAATAATAATGAATTCAACCAAAAAAATTCTGATTATTTGATTTGCGTTTGTTTTGTTTTAAAAAAAAATATCATTATAACGTTATACGATTCATTATAGGCTTGTTGTTTTGGTCAATATCTGGCCACTTTGACTGTCCTAGATGAAAGTTTCAAATTAATTAATTAAATTTTTGTTTTTTTTACAAAATAATAAAGTAAAAATAAAAATAAACCAACAGAAAAGTTAAATATTTACAATTCAATAATAATAATATTCATATCACAGGTGTATTTTGATATCATTTTTTTCGAAAAAAATTAAACAATAATTATAATTATCAATTTAATTATAATGGTGTGTTGGTGATGTGTGGTGTAATGTTAAAAAAACATGCAATGCAAACGTAATTATTAAAAATTTTTTTTTGAATGTGGGTGGTTTGTAATTATTTTTTGGTGTTTTGTAATTTTGCGTTTGTGTGTGTGTGTGTGGGTGATTCGTTTTGGTCACCAATCCGTAGCAAACAGTGAAAATGAAATTCAGCAGAATTTTTGTTGATCAAAATTTTTGTTTTGTTTTTTTTAAAAAGAAAAATTTTGTTTGTTTTTTTTTGGAGAAAAATAAAAAAGATAAAAAAGAATAGAGGATAAAAAAGTGAAGAGAAATAAGAAAAGAAAAGAAAAAGAAAAGAAAAGAAAAATGAAATTAGAAAATGAAAATTTATCAATTCAAAATTTTTTTTTGGTTCCATTAATAAATTGATTTATTGAATTCGTTTTTTAGTTGAGGTGATTTTAATGAAATTTTTAGTCCAAACAAAAATAAAAATGAAACAAAACAAAAACAAAAATTATAATTATAATGAAAATGTGGAGAGAAACAAAAAATAAAAAAGAAAATTTGCCGGGATTTTGTTGAGCATTTATTTATTTTTTTTCTAAACAAAAATTTATTGATCATACTTTAGTGTTGAGATCGATCGAATTAATCGAACGGAATCCAGGCGTTATACTTGTTTCTCTTGATCGTTGTACATTTGAATAACAACAAGCAAATATATAACGTTTAAAATGTGAACGAAATACACCACTTATACAGCATAATACGATTGGATTTAGGCAGGAATTTAAAAATGATAATACAAATCCAATTATACGCCATATATGCCAGAATGTATTATAATTTTCATTTGAATTTGCATTAAAATGATACCAAAGCATAAAAACCTGTTGAATAAATAATAAAAAATATATAGAAAATATAAAACAAAAACGGTTAATTATACATTATAAATGGATTGTATGTTAGCTTACCTGATTAGGAAAAAAACATATGGCAAATATGACAACCAAACCAAGTACAATTCGTGATATTTTTCTTCGATTTTTTAATAATTTATTATGTGAATCATTATTGCAAACAGGATTTTCTGTAGTACGTATTAGACTACGTGCCATTAATGAATAGAATATTGTTATGATAATCAATGGTATTGCATAATAGCTTAAAAATTTGATCATAACAATTGTTTTAGGATACCAATCACCTAATTGTGATGGAAATGGATAACAAACATTTATTGTATGATTATCATTAACGGCAACTTTCATGATGAATGAATAATAAGCTCCAGGTATGGCCAAAATTGTTGCTAAAAACCATATAAATGTATTTGCCTGTGTTAATGTTGTACGTCCTTTATGCGATAGATAACGTATTGGATGATGTGTGGCTGTATAACGTTGTACACTTAGGCTAGTCAAGGTAAATACCGTAACACCAATAGAAAGATCACGTGCAAATTCACTTATCTTACAAACAGCCAGACCATATGGCCATGATTCAAATGTATAAATTGTGCTTACAAATGGTACGGTTATTAATATCATGGCTAAATCACCAATCGCTAATGATAATATATAAACATTGGCCACTGTACGCATTGATTTATGTTGATAAAATATATAGATTACAGTACCATTACCAATTGTACCAATAACAAATATGAATAAAAATATAATGGGCACTATATATGTTTCAGGTCGACTTTCATATGGTATATAACCACTATGATCACTATCATTATTTTGTATTGATGATGATAATAATAATGATGATAATGTTTCATTATTATTATTATTTTCATTATTTTGATGATGATGTTGATTATTATGATTATTATTATTAATATTTGTATTGATGAACATGTCATTACCACCACCAACACCAACACCATTACCATTATTATTCATCATATTTACAGTTAAATTTATATTATGTAATTCATTGAATAAATTTTTTAAACTATTTATTACATTTTCACTATTTACACTAATTATATTATTATCACTTTGTTGTTGTTGTTGTGATTGTAAATCATGAACTAAATGATTATTATGTTGTTGTTGATGATGATGATGATGATCATGAAGATAATGTTTATGATTATTATTATAATCATAATGAGGTGAAGAAGTATAATGATAATATGATGATGGTGATGATGATTGATTTAAATTCATAAATGTTGTTGTAAAATTATTGTTAATAATTGGATCCATTTTTAAAATGAATGTTGAAAACGATTAATATTTGGATTACAAGTTTCACTTTAATTTTGAAAATCAATTGAGATCAATTGTAATAGTTTTCTTTTTCATTCAATACATTTGATAATCAGACCATTCAACCAAACATTGACAATGACAATGACAATGATGATAATGTTCAAATGTTCAGGAGGAATGTTTTTAAATTCAGCAAAAAGTTATCTGTCAATAAAAGGATTTTTTTTTTGTCAATTAATAATAGTTTTTTTCGGATATAAATGAAATGACAATCAAATTAAAAGTATGTGAGCAACAAAAAAAAATGTGCAAAAGTGAAAATGAAATGGAAAATATATCAATATTCGATTCAATTAGTTTTTTTTGTTAGCATTTTAGTTTAACATTTTTTTTTATTCGCAACATTGATCAATTTAGGGTTAAGTTGATGAACGAATGAAAATGGCTAAATTTTAATGTTTAAATAGAATTTTATTTATGGGAAAAAGTGCAAAGACAAAAATACGTGTGCACTTTTTCTTAAAAATTTTTTTTAAAAATGCATAGAAAATGCATTGAAAAGACAGAAAAAAAACTAATCTTTTATCCATTTAGAAGAATGAATTCAATTAGAAAAGTTTTCCGGACGAAAAAAAAACAAATTTCTTCTTAATTTCACATTAGATGATTTCACAAATCAAATAGAAAAAAAAATTAAGATAAAGAAAATCAATACAAATCAACAATTTAAATCGAAAAGATTAGAAAATCAGAATCAGAATCGATCCCCTTCAAGGCATAAAATTTTCATTCATTCAATAAACAAAATCTTTTCGTTTTTTTTCCAATACAAATAATATCCTTATACACATATATAAAAAAAAAAGTAATAATAATGATAATGACATTTGTGGATGTGACTTGAAGAATTTGTTGTTGTTTTTTTCTTCTTCTTTTCCTTCTCGTTTAAATGAAAATGACAATTAATGAGAATGTGGTGGTAAAATCAACACAAACGAAGAAAAAAAAATAAAATTGCTGTTATTATCATTGTCGTAGGCGTATATAAAAAAAAAGACAATAATTGTGTGTGTGTTTGTGTCGGACAAATGATCAAATAATTAAGAGATAAATAAAACGTAACAAAAAAAAATGTACTGAAAATATACTTAATTCAAAAAAAAACGAAAGAAAAGGAACAAGAACAAGAACAAGAAAGCAAAATTCTAGAATTCTCTCTCTCTCTCTCATTCATTTGATTCCATCTCATTACATTACATTCATTTCGAATCAAAATCAATTTCAATCAAAATTCTTTATTATTATTTTCTTCTTTTTCTCACTCTGTCTTTAAATTTTCATTATTGATGATCATTCAATTTTGGATACACAGCAGCAGCGACAACAGCAAAAATAAAATAATGAATTTGACTGAATGTATTTTAGTTTTTTTTTGTAATTCTATCAAACTCAGACAGACAGACAAACAAACAAACAAACAAACAAACAAACAGGAAAAAAATGACAGCAATTTCTCAATCACCAAAAATAATTCTAATGATTAATTCTTGCACCACAGAATCAATGAATGAATGAATGAATGAATTTGTGAAAATTCATTCTTCCCATTTGGATTTGGAAAGAGAATTTTGTGTGGTTTTTTTTAAAAAAAATAAATTGAAAATTATAATTGAAATCAAACAAAACAAAACCAAAAAATGTGAAATTACAAAAAAAGAAAAAGAAAAAGAAAATAATTTCAAGTACAATAAACAAACCATAACCATAAACAAACTAAACATAAGTTAATAATGAAATTTGGTTCAAAAATGTAACGTGAACGAATAAATATTATTATTATTATTTATTTTTTTTGTAAATAACAAAAATTATCGAACCAAACTATTATTATTATTGTTATTATTTACAACCCACACACACACGCATAAACAAATAAAACACTTACGTAAGTTTCAAGGTGTAATCTATCCATCTATCTATTTATCTGTATGAATGGCAATGACTTTGAATCGAAAATAATAATAATAATAATAAGAATAAACATTACACACCTAAATTCGTCATAAGATAATTCAAATACACACACCTACACCTGGTTTATACCTGTGTAATATTAAGCCAAAAACAATGATAAGATTAATCGAATTTTTTTTTCCAATTTTCATTTTTTTTTCTCGCTTTCATGTTGATTAAATAAACTTACCGTTATACAAATAATTGATTTTCGTTTTTCGTTTTCACGATTATCGTCGATTGTTGTTGTAGTAGTCGTAGTCGTCAAAATGAATTTACGAAAATACAAAAACTAAGATTAAATAAGAAAATGAAAATGAAAAGATACATTTCAGATATATTGATTATGAGGATGATGATCAATATTCGATATCGATAATCTAATTACCAAAAAAAAGTGAATTGTTTTTTGCAATTTTCTATACACACAAACGATCAAACACTGATAAAATCGATCAATCGATTGATCGATATTCCATTCATTCATTCAACACTTGTTATTTGGCTAAAATTTTCAATCAATCAATCAATTTTGTTTTCTCTCTCACTCTCTTCTAATCGATAATGATTATATTAATCAATTTATGAATGAATATTTGTCAAAAAACAAAACAAAATCAAAAAGGAAAAATATCATCATTATTGAAAGTAATCTGTTTTGTTTTGTTTTGAATGTTGATCAACATATTTTCAAACAAAACAAAAAAGAAAAAGAACAAAATCATTCAATGCGGTTTTTCCCAGGAAAAAAAAACCAACATTGTCATTGATAATGAATGAACATTTTTTTGTTTTGTTGTTTGAATCCGGTTTGTTATTCATTGTTTCATAGAATTCATTTTTTATTTTGGCATTTCGTTCATTCATTTATTCACTCACTTTTCAATTAAAATCAAAATTCAACAGCAAAAAAAAAACATTTGACACATTAGATTTATGCAATCCGTTGTTGTTGTTGGTGTTTTGTTTTTGTTTTTGTTTTTCTAATTAGCTTTATGAATTACGCAAATTGATTTAGAAATAATGGGATAAAAGTTTTATATACAGTAGATTTTTTTTTCTGCTTGTTCAAAACTTTTATTGGTCGATTTAATGTGATTTTGTTTTTGTTGTTGTTTTAGGAAAATTAACATGAAATTATTATCAATGATGAACAATCTGCATTAAATTGATTTGTTTAGTGTTGTTGTTTTAGAAAAAGATGCAACCGGTTATATATCTTTGACATTTAAAAGCACAAAAAAAAAACAAGAAAAAAAATGATGCTAAATATTGCTTTAGGGGATATTATGATTTTATTATCAATCTTAATCCTATATTTTCTATTTGAAAATTGATATCTAAAAAATTGTGTATAGAAATTGAATACTAATTAAATTGCCTACTATAAAATGAAATTGTAATTTTTTATGTTTACTTCATTATATTTGATTTCTTTTTGAATTTGAATTTGATGATTAAAATTTGCACCTTGAAATATTGAATGAATGAATTGATGATTAAAATCTATTTACATAGAGATTGCTTGTTTTTTTTCATTTTTTGATTTATTTCCTATAAAAAAACATGAAAAATGATCAATGAAATACACAGAGAGAGAAAAAAACGAAATTAATAATCATATCTATAGGAGAGAGAGAGAAAAAAAAATTCCTGAAATTATTCCAAGAATTTCGAATATTATTATCATTATTGAAAAGAAAATATTCAAATATTTATTTTATTGAATCGATATAAGTGAATATATAGTGAATTTTTCAATTTTCTGGTACTGGATTTTTTTTCTTCGAAAAATAGCAAAACCTTTTTTTTGCAGATAACGAAGTGTTAAGGTAATTTTGTAGTTTTTTTTTTTCAATTTTCTCAATCAGAAATTTGAGCTATAAAATATTGAATTTCGAGTTTATTTCAGCAAACAACAAATCAATGATTATCTTTTTTCTTTCAGCAGATTTCATCAAGCGAATTTTTTTCCCAATCATCATCATCATCAAATTGATGATCATCATGATGATGATGCATTGAATTAAATTGCCAGCAGCCAAAGACACTGATGAATCTCTTAACAAATTTTCTGTACTCATCATCATCATATATTGGATTTACATGATGATTGTTTGTAAAGAATTCTTGGCTATAAAACAAAACGAAAAAAAAAAATATTCATCCACTTAATAAACGAGAAATTAATAACTACTTTTTGTACTAAAAAAAATACAAAAACAAAAATTGATTACATAGAATTTCTACAGCATCATCATCATCATCATCATTTTCAATATATACAGAATTAATCACTTATCATCATCATTATTATTATTATTATTATAATGATTTTCTTCGATGTTTATAATAATAATGATGATGATGATGATGATGATAAAATTGATTGATTATTTTGCCATTTTCTATGTGTGTGTGTGTGTTTGTTTTAATGGCAGCTTCCAGCTTTGGTTGGGTGCTTTTTTTTAAAAAATAAAAATAAAAAGCTTAAAAAATCATCATCATTATTATTATGAATTAAAAATGATATATTCACGACAAATGGAATGTCAACCAACCGAACAAACAAACAAACAAACAGACAGACAAACGAACAAAACAACATCAGATAAACTTGATTTTGTATTTTGTTTTTGTTCTTTTCATTTTTCCAGAATCAAACAAATCCAATTATAATTTTTTGGTTTTTGTTTTGTTCTTTTTTTTTCTTTATTGGATTGATATTTATATTTGAAGGATTATCGGTTATAATAATTTGTATTTTATGACGTTGATGATGATGAAATTTTTTTGCTTTCTAAACTATAATGTAATAA